TATTCTTGTATTTTCCTATATTTCCGTGTGAACTTCCGTTTATACCACTCTTCCTCGCCCTCCCCCTCTCGCTATCGCTGTCGCTGTCTCCTCTGTCCGAAAAGGCAAAAGTTTTGGAACGTGTTTGAAATATTGATAGCGAATGAACAGAGTGCCAGCGACAGAGCCACGGCACCAGGGACAACCACAACAGCAACCCACACTGCACAGCACTACACTACACAACGCTCTCACATGTACGCTTGGACCTTGCACCATCATCCATTGGGTGGTTGTTGCAACCGACAATCAGGCAACACCTACTGCTGGCCAAAAGTTGTCCATTACCCGGCTCCATACCCACGTTCCTCCATCCCTTCCTCCCTCCCACCGTCCGTCTGTCTGTCTGTCTGAGTGTCTGTCGTTTGTCTGGCTACCACCTCTCCTCTCTCCACTCTTTCCTCTATCCGGCTAAAAGCCCTGTCGTCTATAACCCTCTGCTTTGTGGTTCTTGTTCTCCTGTCCGTTTGGCGGTGGTTCGGTGGTGTCTGAGGCAGGGTGGTGGCCTGGCCCCTTTTACGGTTGCATTAGACAATAACTGGTAATAATCGTTGAACCGTAAAATAAACATGGATACCCATGTGCACTTGTTTAGGCTGAAACAACAGCAACATCACGAACACAACCTCCACAGTGGTCGGTCAGGTGGTGTCTTTGTCGCTGCAGGTGATTATATTGTATGTCCATCTGTCTGTCCGTCTGTTTGTCTGTCCGCTCCACCATCCAATGTCCGATGTCGTCTGCCGGACGTTAACTGATTTGTGCATTGACGCGAAGTCGTAGAAATATACGAAAAGACATAAATACTTAAGCAGCAAGACAGACAGGCCAAGAAAGCAAAACGAGTGGAAAGGGTGTACGCGCTTCTTGCGGTTTTTTCACTGATCAGAGAAAATTGCATAAACATGAGCATATGCCACTGGATGCATTCCAATCCAATAGGTAATTTATATTCGTCATCGAATGCTGGTTTCTTTTGCATATCCCTACCATGAATCAGAGAATAAATTTAGCTGTCGATTCAAATAAATCTTTGTATTTAACAAAATCTTGAAACAAGAAAACGATCTTCATGGATGTCAAACTTGAATTTAACCCAAGACAATCCCATCTCCCATATTGTCTAGTGGTTAGGATACCCGGCTCTCACCCGGGAGGCCCGGGTTCAATTCCCGGTATGGGAAACTGTTACAAGTTTCTTTTTTGTGTGTTTTTTATTCTTTTTTCGTTGATCATTTAATTTTATTTATATATTTTACGCTTCTGTTTTTGTCGCTTCTCCGTTTTTTTTTTTTGTTTGTTTGTGTGGACCGGACCACCTACGAATTTGAAAGCTTGAGATTCCGTTCCGTTTGTTGTTCCAAATGTCTGAAATCTCAATGCGACATCAAGAGCACAATTTCAGAATCAGCTTCTGCTTCAGCATCAGAAGAGCTCTTCTTCTGTTGAAATTGGACGTACAACAAAGGCAATCTCTGGTGGTTTAAGTTTTATGTGGAGCGTTTAATGGCATAGAGATGGACAGTCCAAGAGTGGAGTGGAGTGGAGTGGGGCAGTGCGGAGCGGCTTGTTGCATTGTGGCATCAGTGTAGTTCCGGGGGTAAGGGCAAGTGTTTCACACAGTAAACACAAGTTAATGAAATTAAAACGTAAGCAGCAGACAACGGCAGCAGCAAACGCAATAAACACAAAAGAAATTACAATTAAATTGAAAGCAAAGAGAAAGACTGAGCGAGTGAGCGAGTAAGGGAGTGAGTGAAGGCCCTTCCTTCCCACAGGTCTCTCTCTCTCTCTCTGTCTCTCTCTGCCCCTTTCCCTCTTGCAGTCTCTTGTCTGACATGCAATCCAAATGGAAATGAACTTTGAAGCTCTCTCTGGGGGCTGCGTGGGGGTCGGGTCGGGGTCTCTTGAAGAAGTCTTGAGAAGTAGTTTCGATGCCCTATCGCGATGCTCCATTTGTGCCCTCCCCCCCTGTGCCGCGTCTTCAGCGTCTTCTGCGCTGCTCTGCTCTGATGATGGCGTGCGCGACTTTTAATCGCATTCGTTTCACAATTGACGGAATTTTTATTGTGAAATGAGCAAAGTAAAGCAAAGCAAAGACTTTGGGAGCACTCTAGCTCTAGTACTCCCATGCATGTACATCTATCTGTTATAATGCGAATAAAAAGTGAAAACCTTTCCCATGCAGCATTGGCTACAATGAAAGCTCTTCATAGGTGTACCACATTTGAGTTGACTGTACTCCATCTTCATCTCCGCCTCCTATTGCACTTGTTTTTTGTTTTTTACCCACTTTTTCCACCCACCAAAAGTAAACATTTTTCAATTATAGTTTTATAATAATTTTCTCGTCATTGTTTTTGTTTTATTTTTCTTGTTGTTGCTGCATTTTGTTAGTGTAACTTTCTTTGGTATTCTTTCACTTTTTTTCGTACCGCCCACTGGCGTGGCAGTTCCAAGTGCTGGCTGGGGTGCTCTGAGGGAGCTGCCAACTCATTTTTTGTGTTGTTGTACATAACTTTTGCTCTCAACCCAAGGCATTTTTAAGCCGAGACTATAATTATATATTTTTTATTTCGCTCTCACTCGCATTTCCCTCTCTTTTCCTTTTCTGCCGGCTATGGGGTATCGTATCCCCTGTGGCTGCAGTAATTAAATTTGTTTTCTGTCTTTCTTCCATTTTCCCCTGCCAACTTTTTGCAAAAAGTAGTTACTTAAGGGGGAGCTGCGTGGTGCTCCACCTAGGGATTCCCTGCCACATTTTCTTGGAAATAATTTGGAATGCGTTTCATGGCAATTTGAACTGCATAAATCAATAAAAAAAAATATAAGGGGTGGTGGGGGGGGGCGGAATACTTGAGGAAATACTCACATATTTGACAAAAAAGAAAAAGATGGGGGCGCAATGCAAACACAAATAGTCAGCATTATGTAAATGAAATGTTTGTCCAATGCAAACACAGAAAATGCGGTCGAAGGAAGGAAACTAGAACAGCAGCAGTTTCAGCGGGGAGAGGGGTTGGGGTAAAAAACAGTAGCAGCAGAGAGTGGCGAGGTAGCAGCCACATCAAGGAGCTTGCATAGGTTGGAGGTTGCTGAAAAGAGTCCTTGCATAATCAACTTCAACTGCGAGTTGAACTTCGATTTTTGCCTTATGCCAAATGAGGCAGCAGGCAGGCAGCAAGCAGGAAGGCAAATAAAAACACACACACACACAGAGAGAGAGAGAGAGAGTGAGAGAGAGGGAGAGAAAGAAAAAGCCAAGAGAAAGGAGAGGGAAAGCAGCGAAATATTGCAAAGAAAGGTGAAGAGAAGAGTGGCGTAAAGGCCAGGCCAGCTCGGCGCACAGGAGGAAGTTGTTTTGTTTCTTGCAAGGATATTGTGCGTTTCAGTGTCCTGCACGAACAAACAAGTTGCGTGCCAAGGACAACAACAGCAGCACCAGCACCAGCACCAGCAGCAAAAGGAGAACTTTGCGCAAAAGCTACACAAGCACCAGAAATCGAAATGTTTAAGGACATTAAGGATATACACCTGTCGATATTTTTACAGTTTTTGGCATGCGGCAGGGCACCATTAACCGGTTGTGCCCAGCCGATCATTAAAAGGGAAACAGCAGCAGCAGCAGCAGCAACAGCAACAAACTTCCGCTTGGCAAAACTCGTTTGTGCTTGTACAGTGAATACAGGGAATGAAAGGGAGAGACACGACGACACAAGCAGGACCTTCGACTTGCTCCTGGCTCCTGTTGTTTTCGGGCCCAAAGGTAATCACCATTAAAACTCATTACCAAGCGAGCACCAAACCACACCACAACAGAACTGAACAGAACAGAACAGGACAGAAGAGAACAGAATGGAGTGCTGGACAGGACATGGCAGAACACGCCATGGGACTCCGAACCCTAACTCCGAACTGGAAATAGAAACAAAACCCAAAGGAGGAGCCACCACACACATGAGAGTCGTCCTGTATGCTACGGAAAACTCACTAACCAAAGCTCAGTATTTCATGAGGATTAGTTGCAATAAGATTGCAGGGATTTCTGGCGGAACCACAACTAGTTTTTGAGGGGCAAGTGAGGGTGTGTGGGGGCTCTGCATGCTAGGTTACAGTTAAAAGATCTGGGATGCTTTATGGCAAGCCAAAAGTGTAAGTAAATTGGGGCATTGAACTTTAATGAAGGGACGTCTCTGCTTAAATAAAATCTAACTTTTATTTATGGTTGAATTGTGGCATAGGGGTTCCAATATGATTGTAGATTTCTTAGCTGAATATCTAAGGGTTCAATCTTTATTTATGGCAAGACTCCTCCATTAGTTACAGGATTACGATTTGCTTAAGATTTGAGGATTATAGCTACACTTTTCCATTGTCAGGGGAGGATTGCTCAAAAGATTTCTTTAGAGGCTTTTCATTATTCGATTTCCATTAAGAACACTTTCATTATTGCTTTTCTGGTCGTCTTTGCTTTCCTCTAAAGATTTCCGAAATTCCATCTTAATCTGAACTTTGGGCACATTTCGAGGGTTGCATTTAACCTTTCTGCCGCCTCTTTTTTTTGCCGCAGCGGAAATAAATTTCTTGTGTGTGCAAAAATATAAAAAGAGAAATAAATTCTTGACTTTTTTATGGCCGTCTAGGTCTAGGGCCATTAAAGAGCGGATGGATACGAGAGGTATACCTCGGGGGAGGGGAAATGGCAGAAATGGGGGACTGGGTGTAGACCTGAATGATGGCGCCGCCTTTTGGCGTTGTCGTCTGCCAAATCGAGAGACGAGACGAAGACGAGAGTCGCCTCGAATTGCGCTGCAGTTGTCGTCGTCTGGCAGCATACAGCATTGGATGGGGGACACAACAACCGAGAGAGGAGACAACCTTGAGCTAATTTGGCCCACTGTAATCCCCGTTCTTTCTGACTCTGTGACTCATGTGTGTGTTGTGTCTTTATTTCTTTCCAGGAGGCCAAAACCGGGGGCCCAGACAGCATTCCGAGAGCGCATCTCATGATGACAGCAAACGCCGCCACTGCTGCTGCTGCCACAGTCGGTGCTGCTGCTAAGTGGGGCACCGTCACAAGGCAGACGCCCCAAAAATAGACACACCGACGAACGGAGTGGAGAGAGATGCTGCCCAGCAGCAGCAGCAGCAGCCGCAGCACCGTAGTGCAGATGCCGCCACCGCCGCCTCAGGTCTGTGCCTCCGCCTCCACCACATCGCATTCGTCTGGCCTGGTGCTGGGCGTCTGTTGTGACCAGCTGATGCCACAGCATTCGCATTCCCATCCACATCCAGTGCATCGCACGACGACAGCAGCCCCCGTTCCAGCAGCATCAAAGAAGGAATCATTGGAGAAGGAGAGGCACAAGGAGAGGCAGCTTCTTGCCACCAAATGGCCACCGCCTTGCTTCATTGTCCTTGCCTCGCTCCTGGAGGTGAGTGTGGAGTCCACTGGAGTATCATTTCTGCAGTGCTGGCGCTTTTAATGCGATTAAACTCTCGACCCGAGGGTTGATTGAGGGCCACCGTAACGTAACGTTTGTGGCGATTTTTGGGTGACGGAAGGTTGCCATGACATCCCCACAATCCATGACATTGCTGTGGCCACACACTCGGGACGGGGTACTAGGGGGAACCGAACTCTCCTCTAGAGAGTGTGGTTTGCTTTAATTGCTGCCACACACACACACACACGAAACACCCACCCCCTGGGAGGCAACCCTTGGGATAGCCAACATATTGCCTCGTACGTACTACGTACCAGATCCTTTGCTGAATTACAACTTATGTTTTCGTGCACGAGGCACTTGTACTTTGGGGGTTTCAAATCATTGTAAAAGGTTTTAGAATGTTGCCTGGATGTACTGCACTGCGCTCCTTCCTTTTCAAGATATCTGCGTGATGTTTGGAACAACCATTTCTGGTTTTTCCTTTGCTTTATTGCGTAATTTGTCGCATGTATTTTTTCTATGAATTTCCAAGACTTGCAAACCAAAAAGTTAAGTTTCCGTTGTAGTTGTAGTTCCGTTATTCCCATACTCCTGCACGCTGCACATATCTGAAAATAAGTTCCCTGTAGTAGAACTAAAAGTCCACTCTGGTCAGCGAATGTTTGGTGGTCTTTGGCGCAGTCACGTCTCATATTGTGTGTGCTTATGGTCGTAGTTCGTAGTATGACCATTGCAGAGGGTTGTTTCCCCTTCCCAGCCGAATAACAAAGATGCTGCTGCTGCTTCTGCTGCTGCTGCTTCTGCTGCTGCTGGATCATGTGTCTCATCTGGAAAGAGCCTCCCTTTATCACACTCACGTCTAAGAGTTCTAGTCGAGCAATTGACTTTTGATGCAAACAAATTGCCGACTGGCCCACACACATACTTCACTCCCTTTTGGAGTGGGGTACGAAATGGAAGTTGGCTTCCGGTTAAAGGATATACGAGAAGCAGCAGAGGGTGGGGCAATCTGAAAGGGGATACCAAGCAATATGGATAGGGCGAGGCGAGGCGAGTGTGCGTGCGAAAAACCCCCAACACGTCTACGATTTGTTTTCCGCGTCTGGCAGGGCCCACAGACGACTGGACGCCAGGGAGTGAGCCAAGACAAAAAGGGGGAATTTCATGGCGACGTCTCGTCGCTGTCTGGCGGCAGTCTGTGGCATGGCCCCTTTTGGGGGTTGCTTCTCCCCTCTCCATCTCTCTCTCTCTGTCGCTGTCTCTGTGTGTGGGTTTTTTTAATGGGTTTATTGCTGGTTCCGGTTCCGCAGGCAGAGATGCTCATGCTCAGCTCGTGCCTCGTAGAACCAGTTAAAGTCTCGTTTCTCCTTTACAGATTTTGGTATTCATTTGCGTGGGTCCTCCCGAGGACTCTGCTCTGATCTATCGCCCTGATCTGCGCCTCCAACTGTGGCGCTTCCTCAGCTATGCCTTGCTCCATGCCAGTTGGCTCCATCTGGGCTTCAATGTGCTGACGCAGCTGCTCTTTGGCCTGCCCCTGGAGTTGGTGCACGGTTCGGCACGTACGGCAGTGATCTACATGGCGGGAGTTCTGGCGGGTTCCCTGGGCACCAGTGTCGTGGACTCTGAGGTGTATCTGGTGGGCGCCAGTGGTGGGGTTTATGCTCTTCTCGCCGCACAGGTGGCCAGCGTGCTCCTAAATTTGGAGCAGATGCGTCATGGAATACTACAGCTAATGGCTGTGATTGTGTTTGGTGAGTATTCCAAAGGATTTCCGCGGCTTTTCACTGACTATAACCTAATGTTTGCTTTAGTTTTCTGCGACTTGGGCTATGCTTTGTATTCCAGGGAACTCGAGGAACAGCAAGCGCGGCCCACTGTCTCGTATATCGCTCATATGACGGGCGCCTTGGCCGGCCTGAGTGTGGGTCTGCTGCTGCTGCGGCAGCTGGATGGAGGCCTGCGTCCGCGATTGCTTCGCTGGCTGGCGCTGGGCGTGTGGTCGGCCTTCAGTGTCTTTGGCATAGCCTTCAATCTGATCAACACGGTGACGGCTCAGCTGCTCGCAGAGCAGGAGGGAGAGGTGCTCAAGCAGCATCTGCTGCACGATCTGGGCATGGGCTAAGAAGAACGGAGTATACAAAAAAGACTACAACACATCTCTCATCATATCTTATGCTTTAGTCTCTAGTCATTAGTTTTGTAAGACTTTCCTCCTACCCTACCCTACCCCCAGGACAGTGTGTGCTCAAACAAATGAAAGAAATCCAAAAGTATCTCTTGGATATCTGCTCAAAGTAATCTTTAAACTTAGAACCCCCTCCCCCATTTATATGTATCTTATGCCAATGCCAAAGGAGCGGAGAGCCAGGCTCACATCAGAGACTTTGCAACAGAAACTTGAGGATTGAAGTGAAGGTTTTTGCTCTCTATTTTGGGCCGAATGGATTCTATCCATCCATGTCCATCCATTCAATTGCCTATTTAGTTATAATGCCAAATAAAACAAACCGGAGCTTAAGAAAGCAGAAAATGTTAAGCAAATAAACCACTAGATATATCTAAGGGAAGAGGTAAAGATATCATAGGAAAGAGCTAGAGATAGCGCAGTGGAATATAATATACATAAAGAAAAAGATGATGAAAACAGAACTAAAAGAATGAACTAACGGTATCAAAAAGAACTATAAAGAAAATAAATCTTGAATAAATACTGAATAAATTGCTAAAATTAAAACATTTTGTACTTTCTACATTTTTCTACATTAAAACATAAAAAATAAAAATGCTTTAGTTGAGTATCACGATACCTGATACCTGCTATAGTCACTGCAGTTTCTGGCTATGGCATCGACTTGGCTTTTGCCTGTTGCCTAGCCTTTTGCCTGTTACATACATTTACACGAATATACTCTATGATAAACAGCTTCAAATATGCTTGTATAACATTCTAAAGCTATGGTAGGGCTTTCAAGGTAATTATTCCATCACTTCCATGAATTTTAGTGCCATAGAAATTTATGTTTGGACAAAAAGTCAACTGCTGTAGCTGCTTTGTGGCCAAAACTGCACCAAAAAGTGGCGCACAAAACTGGCTAATTTGTGTCCACAATTATCCGTACGGTACGAGGCTATTGAATAATAATCCCACACATTTTCAATGGCAAAATGCGAAATTGGTAAGCGACAGAAGTGAATTACAAACAAGAGTGAAACAGAAGCTGAAACAGAAATTTAGCCCACGGCTTTTGGGCATTGTTTTTGGGTTCTGTTCGAGGCATTGCACCATCGAATGGATTGGAGAGTTGGAGTGCTGAGTGCCGGGTGCCGTGGCCTAATTAGTGCACTGTGTTTTGGATGGTTTTGGATTTCGTTTGTGACCAACAAAAATTGAAATTGTAAACTGCTGTTTGGTTCTGTTTCGGTAACATAATAGCTGGTGGCAAATACCTGATGCCACTGCTGCAGTAGCCCGTAACCGACCATTCGACAAGAGCCACCCAAAACCATGTCGAGGGGCAGCATTTTGATGAGACATTGATGGTTCAATCGACAACAATCGGTTAGCCACCCATAAAGTTGATCCAATTTAGCACAAACCTCTGTGGATCTGCGGATCTGGCTGGGGGATTCTTCGAGGAATCAGAGTTGCGGATCATCGTAAGCAGAGGGATGCGATCCCGAAGTCCCCCCAATGACAGGTTGACAACACAAATATTTGTGACATTAAATGCGGCTGGCTGGCTGGCTGGCTGCTGCGGCTGCTTCATGCCCATCCTCCTCGTCCTCCTCTTGTGGCTGCTGCTGATGCTGCTCCAGCTCTACCACGTTGCTCATTTCACTAATTTAATGAAGACCTTTTGCCAGAGGAACAGACGTAGGACCAGCTCCATTGTCTCTCCTTCTGAACGACAACGTCGTCCGTCAGATTGATGAGCTTCGCTTTGGTTCGCTTCGGTTTGGCTTCGATGGCTGCGGTTTTCGCTCTCCCACTGCTCCTTCGAAGAGGTCCACAGGTCCCTCCCTGTCCATGTCCATGTCCATGTCCGTGGGCCTCCTGCATCAATAATTTGTGTTCGCCGTTGAAAATAATTGCCCAAGTTGGTCTGTTTGCGGTTGTGGCAGCATTTAATCTACTTGCAGCTGAAGTTCAGAGATCCCTTCCGACAGCAGCAGCGACAACTGCAACAGCGTCAGCATCAGCCTCAGCATCAGCCTCAGCATCAGGCATCCACTTGGACTTGGACTTCAGAATTCAGTATCCAACAGCAGCAGCAACGGCAGCAGCTGCCATTGAGAGACATACAAAAAAAAGTCAATCCCTGGGCTCCTTCTTCGCGGCCTGCCTCCTGCACTTTGGCGTAATTGAAATAATTTTAAGTGAAAAATCTGCATTCAAAAAATATTTCAGCGCTTTTGCGCACAAATGTCAGCAAAAGCAAAAGCAAAAAGGAAGTAGGGACAAAAACAGAAGCAGCAGCAGGAATTTGAGGTTTAAGGGATACTGGGAATGCCCTACGCGAATGGAATTGAATGTGAGGGTATGCCCCACGAAGGAATGCTCACTTTCTTTGGGAGATGAAAGTCTTTGAAAGTGGAAGAAACGCAGAGAAAGATGCTGAGAAATCTTAGTCTGGGATTAGCAGAAGGTTTGCAGAGAATAAGCTGCGATAAATAAAGAAATCTTTCATAAAAGATCTCCTCGGAAAGATGCATAGATCACGAGAAAGTATCTTCTGATAATCTCTTCTTATATTTTATTGAAGAAAGAGGGAATCCAATATTATAAACTGAAATAGGATATAACGATAAATTTTGTTGTTGAAGAAATCTCTTTAAGACGTTTCCATTCAGAGCTTCTACAACCCATATTCGGATCCTTTATCAAACGCCGCTTATGATTCCACATGCCCCACCAAACAGGACACAGCACCACTATCCTCGACAATCCACAAAGAGGGCAGGGGCAGGGTGCACACAGCCCAAAAATTTACATGCGCCAATTTGTGGAGCAGCCGTGGACAAAAGCAAAAGCAAAAAAAAAACCGCAAAAAAAAAGAGTCAACAGTTTGCAGCTTTCGGAGTTGCTTCCAAAACATAATCCTGGGCATTAAGGCAAATTGCAGCATCTGTCAGGGACAGAGAGAGGGAGGGAGGAAGGTATGGGGCATGCAACAACTCGGATCGATCATTGGAAGCCCCACCATAATTTGCTTAATTCGATGCTGCCCCCTTCGTGCCCCATCCGGAGCACGCGGCTGCCACTCGTCGTCGATCGCATCGACTGCTGGACTGTGGCAACTGCTGATGAGGATGATCCTCCTCCTGTGGCAGTGCGGCGGCTTCTTCAGCGGCGCGCCGCCTCAATTTGCCATTCGCCTGTGCCCTCGGGGGCAATTTTGAACAGCATTTTTTGTTGTTGTTTGTTGCCTCACTTTTCGGTGGCTGTAATTTTTTTTTTGGCCAGGCTCTAAGTAAGTGTTTCAGCCTGCCACATCAGCATCACGCTGCTGCTGCCACATCCTCTCTCTCCCTCATCCTCTCTGTCCCACTCTATCTCTATCTCTCTCATAAAACATAAATAAACAAAACATTAGTTCGACTCTGACAATCGAGTCCAGGGACAGATAGAGTCCACATCCTGTTTCCCCCTTGGGGAGCACTTTAATTCGATAAGCAAATGGAAGGGAAAGAAATGAAAATATTCATTCGATTGATGGCTGCGGCATCGAACGTCCAGTGAAAAAGTTGTTGCAAGTGGCATAGATACGACAGTCAGTGGCAGCATACTACTATTTTCTCTCTGTCTTACCCCACCAGAGCTCTTATGAATTTATCAACAAAAAAATCTACATAAATTCTGGTTTGACATTGGCATATTTTGGGTTTCTGTTCTGCTTCTAATTCATATATCTAGCTAGGGATTGGGCCACATGTGAAAAGCTTTCTGAAGAATGAAGTTTCAGCAAGAGGAGAGTTGCAAGTGGAGATGGAATTTATTTGCTAATTTCGAAATGAGGTCACATGGCTCATGGGAATATTTGCAAGAAAAGAACACAAGTATAAGAATCATAATTAAGGAAGAACCAACTCTAAATTAAGGGCAAAGGAAACAACTAGTAGGGTTTTTGGTATTACAGAATTATGGTATTATAAATTATGTTTGTTATGTTTAAAATTTCCCTAATATGATACTGGATAGCAGTTCTTTAATGTGTATTAAGTGTATTAAGGGCAGCAACTGCTGCCCTAAGGTGTGTTTAATACAGAAAATAGATAGCTAAAACTTACCCAAATCCTTTGGAAATGGCTTTGATTTTTAAGTGTTTCTTGGTATACTTTGTGTGGCTGAGTGATTCTCTCTAGAAGAATTTTAAAAGAAAGAAAGTGCAGAAATCAGTCATTAAATGTTGGGTTCCATACTTTATTTTGCATAAGAAAAGCTTTCAAGCATTTACAATTTGTCAAAACAAAGCATAACGAAAAATTACCATAGTTTGTCTTTGCACCACGGAGGAAATGTAGCGGAAAATAAGGAAAATGCAGAGTGGAAAGATGCCCCCTCTCCAACGACTTAACCTATAAACCAATGAGGTTAACAAGCTCTTATTTACAGCTCCTATAGCCACTCCGGCATCGTGTTAATTTCGATTGATCCCGGAGATCTCATTGGCAGCATCAGGGGACTCATTAAATCTCAAACTGTGGAACCCATCGACCGCTCCTCCTCATCCTCGGGGAGTTCCTTCTGCGCTGGGTTGATGCTCATAATTCAGTTCAATATAAATCTGTTAACAAAACGCTTAATCCGCTTTGTGCGCTTTATTTATGGCCATTTGATGGCGCATTATCGCATCAGGGCACATGGCAGCCGTCACCAGAGCGAGGACCCCATGAATGATACCCTCGATACCGTCTCGCCCCCACTCTTTTTCTCCTCTCCTATCGTTGCACCCGTTGGCAGCTGGCGCGCCTCATAATTGGATTCGTCACAGATCTCTTCTTCTCTCTCTCTCTCTCTCTCTCTGGGCTGCCTGGGTCATAAATCGCGGGCTGCTTGAAATGCAAATTTTCGGGGAAGCTGCAGCTCTTGTTGTTGGAGTATCATCGGCAAGGCATCAAAGTGGCAGGCACAAATGTTTCGCCTGCTGCTGCTGCTGCCCAATTAACGCCACACGAAGGAGAGGAAGAGGAGCAGGAGCAGGCAACAGTTTTCGGGGGCGACCAGCCGCGTTGAGAGGCAGCAATCAGAGTTCACTTGAACGCAGAAATGTTTGCAATTAAGCCTGTGGAGTCAGGCAAGTCCGTTTGCGGCCACAGAAAATAAAGTGCGTGCTGCCATTCGAGTGCGGGCGGAGCTGTAGCAAAGCAGAAACAACCGCAGGAGCAGCAGCAGCCACAGAAAAAGACTGTGGTGCCAGGGTTCCATGTTCCAGCTTGTCGATTCGCAACAAAGGATAATCCCAGGCAGCAAAAGGTGTCCACTCCCCCCCGGTCTGTGATCTGCTGCTGTTGCTGCACCCACTGCCACAACCAAGTCAGAGGCTACAGCCACAGCCCAGACACTGACAGTGTCATCTGACATCCAATGGCAGAACATTGCTCCAGTGCACAAGCAGCCCACGCTTCAGGATTCCGCTTCAGGGGAGTGAACTCAAGACGAAGGTTGAATGCGCTTTCTAGACCAAA